GATGAGCCCCAAGTAGGACGAAACCAAGCTGCCGATGGGTTTTTAGCAACCTTGTGGGTAGTGTGTTTCGTCTATGCAATATACTGCGATATCCCGAATTTCGCACTAAATGATATAAGCGGTGCCATGGTGCGGCGCATCCAGTCGAAAGAGAACATCATATGTTAGGTTTGTTTCAGTTGTGTTTTACGTCAAGACCAAATTAGAATGCAGAGCAGTGTACCTGTCGTTCTTAAATCTTGTTCACCGGCTTCGAATTAAAGGTTCATTTCTATCTGATTAAGCAATATTGCGGAGTTAAAATCCAACCTGTTAGTCTTTTTGGAAACAAACTATCCGACTTCAACTAAGCTTAAATTTATATTAGCTGAGGAGACGAAGAAACAATCTCGTATCCAGCAGCGGACTACATAGTACGATTGAATCAAATTGGTCGAGAACGAAGTAAGTATGCTCAATTAGCATGGATCTACAGTTAATTTATGACGCCCAAAAATGCAAGACAGGGGGTGGGCTGCTGAAGAGTTTTTTGTTTACCTAACAAGTGGTATGTTTCCACGTAAATCATCACTAAGACTTCATGTTACACATCTGTCTAATAAGCGCGTTGGGCTTGAGAGGTAGACATAACATTTTATGGTTCTTTTGAGGCTTCCATTCTTGCTCCAAGTGTGAGAGCGAGAATTATTTATAACTTGCCCAATAAAAATGCCAGAGCACATAAATATACAAATTATTCCCATTATTTTTTGCGACAATGACACGTTCTATGATGTTGCAGCGTGCAGGAAAGGGTTTTCGTCAAATGAGCAGGGAATCACTGGAAATCCAAGGAAAAACCCGGCGTGCACTCGAGGATTTATCTAGGGCATCCCATTCACAGGATTGTTTCTCAGTAGTTACGGATAACGTACTGATTCCAGGTGTTTTCCTTTGATTCGGTCATTTGTTCCCAGTCAGGAACTTTGCGAGTGCACGAATTCAGCTTACTGACAGTGGTTTGCGGCTTTCCGACAAGTTTTGTCTGAGCGAACCAACCGTGACCCAGTTTGTCTTTTTATACCATGGTTGCAAACGCACTTCCATGCTTTTTTCCTGTCGCCTTGTGGATCTGGTATCTTACAACTCAAGCTAAAATCCATTTTTCAGTTCAACGCTATGTTATTCTGCATGTAATGGACAGACACTCCAGACAAAATAGTTTTGAAAAGTATTCATAATTACACTTGTGCAGAGAAGTTCATATTTGGAACCAACCATCCCTCATAGAACACGTGGTGTTGACAGAATTGTTTACACTGACTAGAAATCTTTGTTTCACTGTTATGCCTGTCGTTTACCTCCAGGGGAGTGGGGAAGAAGGTTGCTTAATTTTCTGTCATGTTTGGCGGTTTACAGTAACCAAACGATCCTATAAGTGTCATCGAAAGTAGCGCAATTGCTTGGCCAGTGTAAAAAACACTACATCTTCCTCAAAACCAAACATTATTTTCGTGGCAACTATTCCTGTCTCGTTTTCTTTCTTGCATGAATCGGTCACCAGGAAAACGCTTACATCTTTGTAGCGGTATCCCTACTTCATTGTGGACATATCAAACGGAGGTTCGACCCCACAGAAAGTGCACGTTATTAATGCTAATCAATTTCAGAATGGAAAGCAACGAAGTAAACCCATGGAAGAATTCATTTACAAATCCCACAAATGAATACCCAGTCCAAAAACTAAGTAGTACAACCGAGACTTATAGTACGGTATTTTACTACCCGATGAGGCCAGTGTGAAACAGCTGATACCGCTGGAAGGGAACGTGAATTTTCCACTTGGGCAACTATCTAGTATAGGACTAGTGCTTTCTGATTATCTGATCATTGAGGTGAGCACTTCAGTTGTGAACCTTTCTCCCCAGTCTTTCTGATATTCTTAGCGCGTAGAAGATTAGCCCTGAATTGGTTGTGTAGGCAACATCATGCGCATATTCCGTGTAAAGACCAAGACGTCGACGCACTACTAATGAATAATGTCGTGCCAATCGGCTCGGCATTAGAGATGTCACCCAACTGGTAAGAAATCGTCCGCAACCATACTACTCAGCTCAGAAAGTACAGCAACAATCCAGCCTCTACAACACAAGCTGCAACATTCGCCCCAACCATATGGATGCGCTGTGATTACGAAAACAAACGATGCTGATATTTTCTTGGATGAGCATAAGGGGTAACATCAGGTTCACGTGATGAATCTGCCTTATGGGGCTGTTCTTACTGGGTACTAGGTCCTAGTAATTATGCATCTCGGTTATAGGTTTTCCTGATGTGTGTCTCTTACCAAATTATGTGCATGATATTGGTACCACTTGGCGCATATTTCTCCCCGGGCAAGTGATTACGTCCACAGTGTCGTTGCCAATTTCTCTCAATATCTTCAATTTCATTATCTTCATAAGCATGACAAATTATCGGCAGTGCAAAAAAACTGTTTCATCTGTACCCCTCCAGATTACGGCGGCGGTTGGTGGTGTTTCTCCGTGTGTATCTTAGTCATCGGGGTGCTGACCGCCATCATTGGAGACATGGCCTCCGCATTTGGTTGTTCCATTGGTCTCACGGACGCTGTGACAGCCATTACATTCGTGGCTCTGGGCACCAGTCCACCAGGTAAGATGTTCAAGCTTTATCTTGCGAAAACGTTCGTCCACGTATGTAAGTCTGGTGTGAGTAAAACTTGTGGCTATTAAAGTCGGAAATGAACGGTGACGGTGTTACTGCATATTCAGAAGTGAGATGACTCCCAAAGTCGGTCGTAGCTATCAGTCCATCAGACCTGCTTCCGAAAGTTTCCGTGTCTGTATAACTCAGATATTAAACGGAGAGTAACCGACGCCATGCAGAATTAAAATAGACAACTAAAATAAGACATCTAGGCAAAATATTTTCTTCGTTACAGACAGCCAACCTAGCAAAACAACATAATTTGGTGCCAGTGTACCAATATGCACCAGTATGAACCAATTTGCAAAAGGTAAATAGGGCTGTGTGAAATATGCGTAAATTAGACTTATATCCCATGAGATAACATCTGTTTTTCGAGAAAACTTACTGTGAATAATCCAGTTGCACGAATTTATTTGAAATAAGGGCTACAGACCTTGTATTTTCTTCAGAAACGTGTTTAGCACTTGTGATCCATTCTGGTTTCCTCCCGGATGTGGATCATTAGGGTTCTGAGCATCGGATCAACACTTGATGGAGCACATTTGACATTTTCTGCATACAAATCGGGTGGAGAAACTCAGCCAGGTAGTTTGCATTCACAGTGTTTATTAGTTTTTCTTGATTCATTTTTTCTTACTCGAGTAATTTTTAGGACAGCGACCGTAGGCCGAATTGATTATCATTGCGCCGGGCAACCGAACCTGCATGTTCATAGAAGCTCTTTATTGGACTTTGCAAAATCTTACCACGTACTGTGATTGAACAACCAATTTAGGTTTTTCCTTCAGTAAACATTTAGAGTCTATTCAACTCCAGCGGACAGTGAATGGGCAATAAATGGAGGCAAGGTTTCTATGGAAAGTATGAAAGCGTCGTCGTATAATGCAAGTAGATCGGCAAACTGCGTGGTAGCTGTGATGCCATGGGAGTTTAGTCGATCTGTTGCTGTTTGAGCAGCCTTGTCGTATTTCTGCTGTACACGCACAAGCAATTATCACTATTCATTGGATACACAAACCTACTCCCCAGGAATGATCTGTGCTACTTTACGTTGTGACTCCTTGGTTCACCTTTTATTCTACCAGACTAACATGCAGACAGAGATCCAACCGTCCGCACTGCTGATCGTCGCATTGGACGAACTAATTTGTCCATTAGCCGGGGCTTGATTTATTTATAAACTGTTTTCGTGGACGTTGGGTGCAGTAACTGCTCATTCTACTGGTTGCATTTCGACAACAGCACTGAGTTCATCTGGAGCGATGAGCTGCGGCCTCATGAAAGGCGATGTTATGAAGTATAGATAGTTGAAGCACCGAGGCGATTTATCATTCCTGGGTATCTTGTCACCTCAGGTCGGTTTGCATGATAGCTCGGAGGGCCAAAAATAGGTCTTTCTTGAGTAGCAACACAGGTGACTACATTTGGCTTTGGTTGCTTCTGATGTGGGAGTTTTAAGTGATAGTGAACTCACCCTAGTTGCCGCTCAAACTTCAGCTGTTGCGTTGTTTAGGTGTTCTGCTACAAAATCATGCTATTTAGAACTTAAGCTGACAACGCAATTGCTTCTACGCATTCCAAATACAACATTCACTTGACTCACCAGATAAACCGCATTCTTAAGTATGGATGGAAACCCCATGAAATCATGCCACCCACTCTCACGTATGTATTATCAGTATTCAAAGTGTTTTTTGCATCCATCCAGTGAACGCCTTGAGTGAACCAATGGATACGCTCATGCCGCCACAGTGGTTCTTGGTCCAAGTTTATAGATTCCATTTTCTGATTTCCCTGCTCGTGTATCCTACTTTACAGATACGTTCGCCAGCAAAGTTGCAGCTATCGGTGACTCGGATGCGGATTCCTCAATTGGTAATGTGACAGGAAGCAATGCGGTCAATGTGTTCTTAGGCATAGGAATCGCCTGGTCGATTGCAGCTATCTATCACGCCATTCAAGGGACGCAGTTCTACGTGCAACCAGGATCCTTGGGATTCTCTGTAACAGTGTTCTGCATCTTTGCCCTAGCTGCTATCACAGTGATTGTTCTGAGACGCCGGCCCTCCGTTGGTGGGGAACTTGGAGGTCCAAAAACCGTGAAATATCTCTCTGGCTTGTTTTTCATCACTCTCTGGTTGTGCTACATTATCCTGGCTGGCTTGGAGAATTACTGTCACATTGAAGGATTCTGATTTCATCTTGAGCTTCCTCTGCTTTCCGTTATTTCCATACTCGTCTCTAGAAGACGAGGTTGATTCGGTCAGCTACTTTACTGGGACATCCATGCACACTACAAAGTAAATGAATCTCAAAAGTGATGCAATGTAACCTGTCCCTTAAAAATGGATAACCCCTATCCGAAGCGCAGACAGAGAAAAAAGTGATATGTCACCACGCGACTCGTACATACGCTCACTGCCTATTCATTTGTGTAATTCATGTCTCTCTCCCCATATATTTTCTCCTCTCCGCATCAACCCCATGTCGCAGCCTTCTCAGATGTGTACAACCAGTTCCTTGTAGAGTACTCATTTTGGTTACTGACTGCTGCTTATATGCCAATTGTGTTTATTCTATTTTGGAGACAATTTGAAAACGTATACTTCACTCTTCGTATAATTTACGCGACATTTTGCAAATTCACAGCTCCAAAAATGCTCAACATGTGCAACCAAACTACTTGGACCAAAGCGTCAGACGTAGTCATCTCTATGAAACCAAGCTGCCAGTTTCTAGATTGCTATTCCCAATGTTTAGTGTTGCTACACACCTTTCCCGCCCAACACCTCATCTGACTGCAAATTTTCTCATATAAGTCTATCCCGAACTAGATCTTCTGTATATCCATCAGACACCACTGACTTTAGCGTGTACACGCTTCACAATTGTCTCCACTCTTCTGACACGCGCCAATGGTGAGTTGCAACCAAAAATCACGGGGTAGCGAGCATCCATTATTATTTTCGTTTTTAACACTATAGAGAACATTGTTTCACGTACATACATATGCAATATAGATTTCTCGATTATTCCTCCTCGTTTATTTAGCCGTCGTTTCGAACTCATGGAACAAAACCCAGATAACAACTGCCAGTTTTTGCTCTCAAAACAACCTGCCTCCTAGACCCTTCTGAATTTGGAGAGTTCCTTTTCTTGTCACTTCCCTAATTCCTGTATATGGTCACCTGCTTCCCTTACAAATATCAAACAACTCACTGAAGACTGATAGTAAGGAGGGGTTAATCTTCTCTTAGATGGTCACTTTAGGCGAGCCAGAAGCTGTTGAACAGCGGCCCACTGCCTTTTCTCGGTTTCAATCGTCCAGTCCTTTTTCAACCCGTTCCTCGTTTTTCTACTCCGTTCCAGTGTCAGTTATAGTGAATTCGCGTCTTTTTTGTTCTCCCACCCTCTTGTTTACTTCCGACGCAGTTCATAAATACATTTATCCATGGATTCGTTGTACTGAGCCGTGTGTACACAGAAGAAAGCACTTCCTGTTTTCCTGGAATATCAGCTGCTCAGTGTGACAGGTTTATCAGTGATGACCCCGTCGAATGATCACTAATTCAATGTGCTCGTCACCTGATGATTAGCTTGAATTTAGTCAGCTGACCAAGACCAACCTGTCCGAAAGAGAAGGAATATTGAGCGGTAACCGACCTATCCCAATGAAAATGGGCGTTTCCCTAACGAGCCTTCATATCCTGTGGCGGAATACGTTCATTAGACAACATCTGCTTGCCCATCAATATTCCGTATATGACTGGACCAAAATCGATGTGAAGGATGGGTCCAGCTACACTGGTGTAGCTAATTCGATCATCTTTAACTTAGCTTTATATGTTTAGAATTTACTGGCGGTTACATCAATTTCCCTCAAATGCTATCAAATCAAGGTGTCAATGGAGAGAACATTCTGCTTGAAACACAATCAAGCCGGGGACACCTGTTAGTGAGAAACAACAAAACAGTCACTGTTTGCAAGTCACTTAACCGAAAGTGGTACGACATCATTCCAGATAAGATGTCAAGAATACTTCCGCAATCATTATAATTTATTTATCAACATGTGTCTAAATGGAGTCATTCACCCACTTCGATAATATGTCTTCCGTCGGGACTATCCATTCGACGTTTATTACTTTCTTTAAATGTTTGATTATCTAAGGTGACTCACACCGCAGTTTGCTTGTTCTGCGATGTCTTGAATTAGCTTTGCCTTACTAGACAGGATATTATCACCAGAATAATCGAAGTGTTGGAGGCCTACTGGTCAGAGTGAAGGAGTTTTTACCGCTTTGGTCGACGAACAAAAAATGGCAATTCAACTAGGCCGGTTTTTGCGCCGTTAATCGAACCAAGCACCAGCCGGGCATGAATGTGTCCGCTTTTCCACACTTGATGGTCCCGATGCATGCAACCTGTGCCAAAGAATTATCTGTTCCTCGCTTTTCTCACAAGTCAGTTTCACGGAACTCAACTTCAAACGCTGTTTACAAGGCTTACAAAGGGTAGGGTCGAGCGTAGGGATTCCGAATTCAGTGTAGTTTATTCAGAACGTGAACCGGAAAAGGATTTATGACATGAGTCACTGCGCACGAACGCCTTCTGAGTGCACAGGCTCCGGCGATGTAAACGGATCGCCACTATCGAAGCAGTAGCCAGATACAGATAGTGGAAGCCCATCTCTACAGATGAGCGCTTGGTACCGTATTCTGAAACAGTATTAGAATCAAGCACATTGTTGGTGTCGGCCGAATGAGTGACCACAGAGTGTGATTGACCTCAAACTGGCTGTCACATAAAACGTGTCATGCTCTCATATTCCCTCGCATGTGTGTTATGCCCCATGTATTCTTCTCTTTGGCAGCTGGAGAACCAGACCAACGTGTTTTGATCATGGACAGTCAGTTTTTGTTTCAGATGACGTGGCACCGGCTAACTTGTTCCTGGCCACATTCTGAGGTATGCAGCCAAATAGATTACCGAATAACTCGAAGAAAAATTCGAGTCAGATGTCTGGATGCCCTTCGAAATAGCCTGTTAAAAACAACCTGTTCTCTTGCGTGTCGTAGTTTTTTAAACGAATCTGCCAGAATAATCACTATTACAAAGCATGCATTCCAGGGACTTCAATCCGGCTTCTAGTTCATTGAAATGACTTTACACCATTTCAACGCGGCAAGCTTGCAATTCGGTCCTAGTTTTTTGTTTTGGTGATGCCACTGGTGCTTATCCGATTGCTTTATCCAAACAACCGTGGATAAGTTTATGCCTCTGATGTGCCTCTGGTGTCATACTTTCATTCCACAAGCTGAACACAAAATACGTATGATGCGTTTGTCCAGGTTGCATAAGATGGTTACCTTATAAAGTAACCTGTGGCACAGCTGGGACACAACCGAGTCTGGTCTTGAACTAAACAGTAAGTAGTTAAACTGAATTTGAACTCTGTTTGAGTAGTGTTAGTCATGAGACTAGACTCAGGTTTTATTGGATGGGTGGAAGCACCAGTAAAGTCACACGTAAAAAGACCCAGAGATTATCGCAATCGTGTGTGACTTCGAACTATCAGATCTTCTACAGGTCACCGGACCGAAAGAACAACATTTGTGTTGACATACCACACTACCCGACAAACATTCCTCACATATCAAGTAGTCATTCACATTTCGGCCTCAATCCTCATTCGACGTGCACTTGATTTGGCGATTTTTGATGGAATTGTCAGGATTAAACTTAATCTAGCAGTTAGTTCACAGAACGGGTTTTCCCGTGTTCCTATATTTTCTCTGTGATTCATCAAGAATTCATAAGTCAAGACGGTGTCTTCGCAGCTTCATGCAACCCTTTAAACCAGACCAGTTCCACAAATAGACTCATACGTTTTATCGGCGAATTTTAAGGAGAAAACTCGAAGTTACCAGTTATCTTGTTTTTACTCGCGAGACATGTCTACACAAGCTTACAATAGTCACATTTCTATGACCACAGTTAGACAACTATCTAGGCTACCGGGAGACAAGATCCCGTCAAGGCTAAAAGTTTGTTGTGCATTCAAACTCCGCGTTTAACCGATATGTTATTAGGTGGTATTTTTGTGAATAACAGTTGCGTCCTATGAGCACTAACATAGAACTGAACGTAGGCGGTTCACCTACGACGAATGCTTAAAAAAATCCGAACAGTTGAAGGTCTGACGCCAAGCTCAGCCCATGTGTAGATGCCAGTAATATTTTCGCTTGTTAGGTTGGAAAATGAGAGAACTAATTAGGTGCACGCTCATCAACAAACAGTTGGCGAGCGCGGACTGGGCGGAACCCGGAAACGGAAAATGGGAGACGATAGGTTAGCAAGTTGGGCGAGTCATCTGAGAGATAGGAGATGCAAAATGATATGAGCAGAATTATACTCCCTTCAGACCTTGTTACGGTGAAATATCTGTAAAAGATATTGCGTTTTTGGAACTGGTAACGCATCTCGTATGTTTGGCCGGCACCGCAGTAGAGCCTGGAAATCGTTGAGTCTGTTGGAATGACTCAGCTACATGAATGACTTTTCTTCGTCAATATGCATCAAATGGGAAGGAGCGTCGACTGCAACAAGACGTGTCAAGCGTATGCAGATTTTTAAGCAACAGACGCACAAAAGATATATAAACTTATCACATACTGGTAGGTCCACAGAAGTAGAAATTCAAACGTAAAGTAGAAAACAGGAAATTCAACCAGTGTTTGCCTAACCAAAGCTAACCGAGGTTGAGAAGACATTATGACAAGGGGATGGTCATATTTTAGTCTGGCAACCTCTAGGAGTAGTTTTATAGGATAAAAGACCCCTGTAATATGTTTTTCAATACTGCTGAGTATTTGCAAACACAAATTGTCAGGTAACCGAGATATCGCTTGCTTGTAAATCCACCTTAAACTTCTTTTCGAAAAAAAACAACTTCCTTTGAAACTCTACAAACAAATTATTTATCACTGCGTATTGAGAGAATTTCGATAAAGACATGAGATCATTGACCAAAGCTGCTGTTTGCTCCAAGTATCACCTTATAGTGATAAGATTGATGCAGTTCCGCTTCTTATCGCTCACAGAACTGCCTATTTTCGCTTAAACTCCTGGTCCCTATGCAGCTTAAACCAACTTTTTTATTACGAACAATACCGTTATCAAAATGACAAGTTTGAAGACTTTAAATAACATGAATTTATTTCTAAACTGCGACTGGCTAAACTGAGACAAACTCGTGTGAATGATACGGTATACAGAACTTAGTTTACTCGCCCTAGCGTCCACAATGTTTAAAAAATCATTCGATCAAATCCGCAACATTTGAAATTTTCGCATCTAATTTTTCACATCAGATAAGATCTCACGCATAACTCGTAGATAAAGAGCGACAGATTAGGTTTGATTCTGAATTTTTAAAAATGTTGCATGTTGTATGCAGACAGAAAGTAGCTGAGGCCTTTGTCTGAAACTCATATCAACACAGTATCATCTGATGAAAAGAAATCCACAAGCGATTTCACACGAAAGGTTTTTATCCTGAACACCTGAGTTAAGGCCAAAATTTTACAAACTGGTCATAAAGCGAATCTTGTACTGACCGTTTTCACGTTCTTTCTTGCAATAATTTGTTGACAGCCTTAGGTTTTCGTCCCAAGATGTGGCATCTCCGGACATCTTCAGATTTAAATGATTTTATGATTGAAAATGGAGGATTTGTTCTCGCCTGATTGTTGACTGATCGTCCTGTTGATATGTAGACGGACTACCCGTTTTTAGGGTCATTCTACCTTCATCGTAGGAAGACATGGATAAAGTTGAATTGCTTCAGGGATCCTTTATCGTCACAAAGTGTTATCAAGACTGCTTATGATGTACAGTCTTACAGTCACATGCCAACAACTCTGGCTTATGGATGGATGCATACGACATGAAAAGAACACGAAACGTAGCCCAGCAAAGTTTTGCAAAGATGATTCGGTGTTTGGAAGTGTGATTAAGAAATTGCGATTATCGATCTAACTTAATTAGAAAATATATTACTACACCTCTGTCTCGGTACAGTAGTGTTGGTGAAGTGATATGACATGAATAGTATATTTCTTAGGGTGGCAGCCACTCTCCCAAGCATGATTTATCTTCAAGCTTTTGGTGTCAGCTAAATCGTTCTTGGTAGCCACCCTAAACTGATGTATTCACTCAACAATGACAAAGAATGTCGCCTCAAATCCTCTGAACAGAAATCCCAAGTACCCACAACGTGAGAAAAAGTACAATTTAATTGTCGAATTACACTTGGACTGTTAGCCTCATGATACAATAAGACTTTTATCAAAATGCACATCAACGTTTGTAGACATGAGACATGTAAATGACGCTAACGTGCACCAACTCCCAACACGTCCGGAGTTTAGAATCATGCACAAGG